GAACAAAGAAAATCCTTTGTTTGTACACTCTGAATCATTGTTCCATTGGAAACACTGGTGAGCAGTATTTCTAACAGCAAGGGTCAGCCGTTGTTACAAAGTGTCCAAGACCCTTGCGATATTCGATTGACACTGTGTCTGACACTTTGCTGATGACAACAAAGTCTCAAGCCGACCCTTGTTGAGAATAATGTATACTTTGCTGTTCGTCGAAAACATATCCCTATCCCATCTTCTGAATTTTGTGATTAATATTGATGTATTCATTATGCTGACATTTTTTAGTTAGCATTTGGATTTATTGGAACGTTTCTCTACATTTCAATTATTGTTATTCTTTTATACTTGACAGAACCTTTAAAGTAACTTATGCGAACGTTTTTCTAATCACTATTGATCGAGACAAGTATAAACCGCAGTAATATAACTAATAGATGTATTTGGATTTTAGTACGGAATACTAGTTTATTTTATACATATCGTCCTCACCCATAAACAATGTTCTGTGTACAGAATATATATATATGCTTTTCATGTTTTAAGTAAACTAAATAGTATCCATTTTTATCTCTTTTTTGTTTTATCTCGTCTATTAAATATTCGATAAAAGAGTTTTTCATCAAACGCTATTAATTACTAAAAGCTGTATATTTTCTATTCAATCTTACATAGGCATGGGAGAGAAGCGCCTCAATCAGGAGTGGTACTTTAGCTTTACTTTGAAGTTAACGTAATTTTTTTCTGAAATTCTTCTTGTAAACAAATTATTTTTTCACAAGAAAAAATCTATGTGAAACTTCGTAAAAAATAGTCTTTAAAAAATAACTTACCCTGAAACAGATAAAAAAATACCTTCTTTTCGCAAAAAGAGATCTCTGGAAAAGTTTGCTTTCACATCAGTATTTTTAGAGTTAAACTGCCTCTCCTAGCCTCGATATCTCAAGATATAGGCGAAGTATGGGGAGATCGACAACTCAGGGCCACAATCGGAAGGCTCCTGAATTCAACAGATAACGTAGATTGCAGTGGCCTTTTGATAATTAGTAAACAAAAATCTGAATAAAACGCTGAAGAATTCGCTTGGCAAAAACGCAAATTTCACAAGAGCGGGATGTGAACCTCTCTGTCAGTCGAATACCTGTAACAAATTTATATTAAATATTTCTTTTTCTTTAATCCAATTCTAACACTGCACTTTGGAAACTTTGTGACACTCTGTTTAAAAAAACAAAGTGTCATTTTACACTTTGATTGCAAATATAAAGTGTCATTTGACTTTTTGTTTCAGATTTCTATTAGAAACGCTGCTGGTGAGCAATACCAATTAGTTTTGAAATAAGCTAGTAGGAATGATATCTTTCAAAACATGAGTATCAGAAAATAAATTTATTATAGAAATTAATCAAGACTAAAACTCTTTGAAATTACGTTTTTGTTTTCTGAAAAAAATTAGTTTCACTTGAAAGAGGGCGCCACATTACAGTGACTCTGTATGATGAACAGGGTTTTTTTATGTCATCGAATTGCCTTACGACGTCTTCATAATAATGCACACTCTAAAAATGGCATCCGTCTTACAAGACGCAAGTGTCTATTCTGCACTTATTTTGCTTGAGCATCTAAAATTGATTATCCATTGCAGAGATGGAATTAGTCGGCATTTTTGCAGAACCGAACTGAATGTAACCGACCGAAATTTCAAAAATTTTCAACCGAACCGAACCTAGAGTGTGAGTGAGGATAAAGATGAGGCATTTATGTATACCCACACCCACCCACCCTCATACTATTCACTGTAGTGCTTATCAAGATGATAATCAATACCGATCATTTCATCCTCAAGCAAAACAAGTTCATGTAAATACGTTTTTCTAAGTTCTATGCTTCTCTCGTCCAGTATCATTATCTAATCAGCATTAAGTTCGTAGTGTTTTGTCAAAATGCTACTGCACTGGAACAGTAACCAGTCAGTATGTAAGAGAGAAAGTCGTGCCCATTTTTTCATTGTTTTCTACGTCTGCAACGTGTATAACAATTCTGTCATTGCATAAGTATAGCCGATGTTCGCCGCTATGCTTTACTTAATTTTGTTTCGCATAAAATCAGATTATTATTCGTTTGAGCAGAAAAGGCGAGCATTCACCTATATATATGTCGGAGTTGACTTAAAAATTAATTTCAGAGGCGACTAGTTGAGCTTAAAATATATTCAAGTTAGCTGAATTTTTAAGTCAACTCCGATATATACAAAAAGATAAAGCGATAACAACCGACCACACACTTGTTTTGTTTTCGAACAATGGCTACTATTACTAGACATGTACCAATCCCGAGTACAGCTTCGAGTTTTCGAGTCAAACGTGGTAAGATTGAACTCGACTCGAACTCGATCCTGTAAACCTGAACTCGACTTGAACTCGAGCCTCCAAACTCGAACTCGACTCGAACTCGAACATATGAACTCGAACTCGACTTGAACTCGAACCTCAAAACTCGAACTCGAACTCGACTCGAAATCGAGTTTAGAAGTTCGAGTTCGAGCTCACTAATTCATCCAAATCCAAATACTATTGAGCAATAAGATTGCAGGAAAGTTTATCTCTCTCATTGTTGGCACAAAACTAATTCTCATTGCTGAGACCATAAGTAGAGGAAACACTAATTCCTGATCAGTTTGTCTGCACTCTGATTGAGGTTACCTATAGTACCTATCTGAAGGCTTTTCTAGGGTACCAAAGGTACTATTTTGGGGTCTATTTGTGGTTACCAAAGATAACTATCTGAGATCGATGCCAGAGTACAAAAAGTACTATTTGAGACCAATTGTGAGGTGTCAAAAGCAATATTCTGAGAACTAGTTGAGGTGCCTGAGATAGCTATTTGAAGTCTATCTGGGAGTATGAAAGGTAATATCTTGGGCCTATCTAAAGGTATCCAGGTTAACTATCTGAGGACTATGCTAGAGCATCAAAGGTCCTATTGTGGGACGCATCTAGGAGGAATAAAGGTACAATTCTCGGACTCATTCGACGATACTAAAAGCAGTATTCTGCGCGCTATCTCATGGTATTAAAGGTAATATTCTGAGGTTTATCTGAAGATATTAAAGGTACAATTACGGGATCTAACTTAAGTACTAAAATAATATTCTGAGGTCTAGCGGAAGTGCCTAAGGTGATATTCTGGGGTCTATCCTAGAGTACCAAAAATAATATTCTGAAATCTCACTGGGAGTATCTTAGGTAACTGTGTGAGGGCTACATCAGGCTGTGAAAGCTACTAATATTCGGAGGCCTCTCTGGACGCACTAAAGATAATATTCTGAGACTTATGTGGGAACACCGAAGTTAACTGTTTGGGACTGATTAGACCAACAGAAGATAGATCTGATAGCACTCGCCTGGAGTCTTGAATGTACGTCTGCCGAAGTACCCTATAATACCAAAACTTAGGTTTTGTGAAGATATCTAGAAGCACTACAGGTAACTCAAAGAACGCTAGTTGCTATTACAAAGACTGACTTTTCAGAACTATCCTGTTTTAAATAAGTTACTGGCCGAAAAGCGTTTCATCGGTAACTCATGTGCTCCACTGGCCACTCGCAAGGCTAGATGTTTTATCTGGAGACTGGCCTAAAAGTTTTCTCTAGCATGGCTCGATAGTCTTCTGAGAGTTTCTAATGATGCTCCAGTACGCGATGAAAAAAGTTACTTTCAGTACACCCAGCTAAGCCCTACTTTCCTACCTCTGCTACCTAGAGAGATGCCCCAGAAAGTTATGATTGATACTCTCAGATAGGCCCAAGAATAGTACCTTTGGTACGTTGAATAGCCCTAAAGTAGTTATCTTATGCGCAGTCGATTAGGTCCCAGAATATTACTTTTGGTACTGCTAGATTGATCCGAGAATATGACTTTGCCTACTCTAAGAGAGGCTCCGAATATGCCTATGGTACGATGACGTGGCTCTCAGATAGTTACCCCACGTGACCTCAGATACGACCCCAACATATTGCCGTTGATACTTTCAAATAAGTCCTACAATAGTGCCTTTGGTACCCCTCTTCCCTCGAGAGGCGGCAGAATATTACCTTTCGTACTTCTAGATAGCATTCAAATAGTTATCTCAGGCACCCCCAACTAGTGCTCAGAATATTGCTTTTGACACCTCACAATTGGTCTCAAATAGTACTTTTGGTACTCTGGCATCGATCTCAGATAGTTACCTTTGGTAACTACAGATAAGCTCCAAAAAGCACCTTTGGTACCCTAGGATAGCCTTCAGAGAGTTACCATAGGTAACCTCAGATAGTTACCTTTGCGGCCTCCAGATAGATCTCAGATAGTTACTTTTACAACTAGAGATGTTATATTCTGCTTACTACGTAATACTAAGTGGAATATGACAGCTCTGGTCGGGAGTGTCTGAGCAAATGAAGGCCAGATCCAAATTCTCCACAGCGAATTACTCTCAAGAAACTGTTTTCCTAAAAACTCGATTTTTATTGGTTTTTACTCTCCCTGCACTCCCACCCCCTCCCACTATGGATTGTCTGGACGGATGGAGCTCAGCTTCGAGTTCCTTGGCCTCGAAAACCTCTATGGGCTTGTATGAAATTCGGAATTATCGTTTCTGTGATCGAGAACTACAGTTTGAGTTTTTGATCAATTAGAGTGCATACAAACTGATCAGGAATTAGTGTTTCCTCTACTTATGGTCTCAGCAATGAGAATTAGTTTTGTGCCAACAATGAGAGAGATAAGCTTTCCTGCAATCTTATTGCTCAATAGTATTTGGATTTGGATGAATTAGTGAGCTCGAACTCGACTCGAACTTCTAAACTCGAGTTCGAGTCGAGTTCGAGTTTTGAGATTCGAGTTCAAGTCGAGTTCGAGTTCATATGTTCAAGTTCGAGTCGAGTTCGAGTTCGAGTCTAAACTTCGAGTCGAGTTTTAATAGTATCGAGTTCAAACGGTTTGGGATTGGTCCATGTCTATTATTTATTCAGCTTCATGAAAACCACCTAGCGCTTCAACATCGTCTGATGCATCTGAAAATGTCCATAGACTTATTTCAATATTATCTGTAGAAAGGGCTTCGTCAACATTATTTAAAGTATCTTGAATAAGCACGTAAATGTTAGAATGACATTGCAAAAGAGTACGAAGAAACATCATAATGTCGCGACGATAAATAGCTTGATAATGCATTGGTTGTTTAGAATCAATTTTGAAAAAATATTCTGGTGTTAATCGAAAACAACGGAGACAATAATAATGATAATCTTGATGATTAAGAAATGCTTGAACGTTTTGAGTATTGGAAAGAATTAAAATCCGAATAGGACAAACATCTTCATGTAATCGATGAATTTGTATAAGATCAATCTTCAACATATCAAACAATGCAGCTTTTATTGTACTATATGTTTCATAAAATCGTATCTATCTAGTGAATTCAGAAACTTGCACCTTTGTAGACACGCATCCTTTACAGCTTATAAACACTAATAATATTTTTCAATGAATTTCTAATGAATTTCTAGTCAATAGAAGTAAAGAATTAAGAAAACTAAACTGATTTTAATTCTTTATACAGCCAATGTTCCTAATAAGAACAGATTTGTGGGAACTGTTTGT